CGCGGCTGAGAGTGATGATTTCAGCGACCATAGAGAGCGAGAGAGAGGGACTGAGAGAGAGAGAGTATAAAAAGGCTCACAGCTGTGCTTCATACGGAATTGGGACCATTTCGAATGAGCGCCCACAGCGCAGTTTTTGTCGTGCAGTATTTTCACTGCGACCGAGCCGAGCAAATACGAAGTATAGTGGTCGACCAACTTAACAGTTTCGAGCTGTAGAAAAATTTGTTCTTCATGTCTCATCTATGTGTTTTCTGGTCAGTGCTGTTACATACTTTTAACAAAACCATTATAACCTGGTTTCCCATTTTCAAGGGGTTCAGGGTATAATAACATCAGTTTTTTTTGTCCGATTTTTTAAAACAAATTTTCGGCCTTTTTTAAGCATCTTCCCACTAAAAACAGCTTTTTTTGCTCAACTAAAGTTGGCAACACTGCTAGAGACTGAGCCGAGACATGAAGTGAAACAGTCTCTTACACACTTTTTTTCGGCGTTGAACAAGTCTATTCTACATGTACCAAACCTGTGTTGTTTGGTCAGTGAATTTATGTATGTACATATGTATGTGTGTATGTCCATATTTGCATGGACGAAGTTTTTAAAAATTTTGATTCGATATCCACAATAGAAAAAATTCGAAATTGTTTTCATTTAAGAAATATCCTATTCTGTTTGGAAAATTTTTGTTTTATAAGACGAACGGACACAACGGTATGGACTGCTCTATTAATAGTGATTACCAGAGCGCCCATTCTATCCGTGACCCAAGATTCTATAGATATATGGATTTAAAGCAATCAATGTGCCCATATACAAAATCTTTACATACGAATTGTAATTAGAAATGGCTATCGAAATCGGTTGCGATATATTAGATTTATCGATATATCGACACCTTTATTAACAGTGTCCATTCTGAGTATAACATAGAATCAATTTAGCATTTATTGCGTATAGTTTGTGTGACAAAAGGAGAAACGAATTTCAGCACTCGTTTAATTACAATATTAAAAACGTAATTTTAAACAAAATATTTGTATAAATTTTTGACTTTATTAGAACATAGATAGCTGTTCTACTATTTCTCAACGTGTGAAATAATGATGCGCAGTGCGCTAGGTAGTTAGCCGAGCCCTGTAAAAGAGGCAACAGACGAGTGTGTGTGTGAGTGTATATAAGCTAGCATATGAGTTAAATCTGTATATGTGTATACATATTTACTTGGCGAGTGTGATGATCCAACCAGAGGTGCGTTCGTGTCGGGCTTTTTTTGCTTGTATTTGTGACAATATGCGTATATGTGTATACTAATGCAAAATGAATATCACTTAAACTTATCGTATATTGTTGTTTGCAAAAGTATGAATACAGTTAATAAATGGTTGGAAAGATTTTATTGGGCTCCCACGGTTTATTACATGTGTTGTCAATAATAATTTGTTGATTTGTTATCCCGGATTAAAATATTCGTTACACCCGCACCTCTGGATTTAGCAACACCACGGAGCAAAACAATATGGCTGCCAAAGCCACTTGTTGGATGCTAGAGCGTATTAAATATACAGATCGAAGATTGTTGTATCTATTTTACTTAAGGCTCGAAAAAAATTCTAGTTCAAAATTTATACTCTTGCGATATATATATATATTTTTTTTTTTTTTTTTTTTTTTTTGTTGCTGTTTAAAATGCGAATATAACATATTTTTTTTGCGTATAGAGTATGTTTTTTTTTTTTTTTATATTTATATTTTTGAGTGATTCTGACTAGAGTGCGCGTATATATTAGAAAATATATAATTGAATTCGATGTTTGAAAGAAACTTGTAAAGAATTGTAAAAATATATGTAAAATAGTTAACATTGTAATATCTAATTCATTATTATAATCTAAATTTTAATACCTAATTTTTATTTACGTTCGGATATTCAATGTGTTTAAGCGCCCTCAGTGCCTTTTATGATTCCGAGACACCTATGATGTTATTATTGGAAATTATAAAATAAACAATAATATACTTTTACAAAAACGGACTCTTTGCGTCATACAAGTATATATCACAATACGCTGCATTATTTGCAAATTTCAGAAATAAAACTATCTATGGATGACCCATCAATCAAGAAAAGGTAAGCGTCTTTTTTTTTTTACCAGCCTAATATTGTATTTAAAGCAAGAATAATTTTGATAAATCAATATTCCAATAAATAGTTATTAATTATTGATTTTTTTTTTATTTAAGCTTATATGTATTAGAACTAATTTTTCGCAACAAACAAGTACAGAAATTAAATCGTATCTATTTTATGGCTATTTTAATTTATGCTCAATTAAAAAGGTCAAACAGTGGTCATTTTGTTTGGTGAGTTGATCTCGTGGCTTTGGCAATGGCACTTGTTACGTCATGATTTATTTGATTGTTAGGTCTGCCTATGCCTATTCAACACAACTAAAACTGCGACTACTAGCCTTACTAAAACAACCATCAAAAAATATCGATTGAGTGTTGTTTTCGGCTTAACAGTAGTATAAGTACTTGACTGCGATGAGGTTTGTTAGTGAATTGTTCGATGAGAGATAATCAGCAATCAGACGAACCGTATTTATGAATTGAAATGTTTGATGAAACTGAACGATTATTTTATCCAAATATAGATAGAAGTATACTCGATGCAGAGAGTATATTGCAAGTGATTTGCGTTAACACTATCCCAATTAATTTTCAAGGTTGATTGATTTTGGTACTGACGACCATGATTACGATGAGGTGCAAGATCTACCCAAAGAATCGAACGATCAGCTGCTACAGTCAACATCGCAGTCACACAATAGCAGTATTGACGACAACCCTGGCCCAAGCACTGTTGCCGCTGCTGGAGGAACAGCTGAGGACTCACCACCAGAACTTCCACCGCCAAAGCAAAAATCTGTAAAAAATTCAAAGAACAAACAGAAACAGAAATCTGCGAATAAATCTAAAATACCACGATCTCCGTCTCTGGCGAGCAGCTTAAGCAATTTAGCGAGCAGTATTAGTGGTATCAATAACAACAATAATAGTGTTCCACCACAAACGCCCCCATTGCCAACCAGTTATCAAAAGGCGAATAAAATTAAGGTGAAACTTATGAATGGGGTAGAAAAAAAAGGTGTTGCAAGTGCAACACCTACAGTGACTACACATGTGATTCCTGATCTTGACTGCAAAGGATCTTCCAACAGCGACAGCAATCTAACGGATACTTGTGCCCTTGTAACTGAGAGTGACAGTGGCACTAATTTGGGAACTGCCCAAGATTATCCCTGTACATCGGGTTCGCGCTCCCAGATACAATCATCTGCAATCACTCAAGTGCAGAAACCACCCACTCCAAGCCCAGCTTCACCCAAAAATTTTCAGTATTTAACTCTGACTGTTCGAAAAGATGACAATGGCTATGGAATGAAAGTAAGTAAAGTAATTTTTTTTATACTATATTAACATTATATTATTTTAGGTGTCTGGCGACAATCCCGTTTTTGTGGAAAGTGTCAAGCCTGGTGGAGCTGCACAAATTGCTGGTTTAGTGGCCGGAGATATGATTTTAAAGGCTTGTACTCGAACTATTCCATAAAATGAATTTTCTTACAAAATTTTGAAATATTTCTGTTATTTTATCTTTTAGGTAAATGGGCAAGAAGTGCGACAAGAGAAACACCCGACTGTTGTTAGCTATATCAAAGGTTTGTATATAGCTTGATTATAATTTTTCCTGGAAGTTAGGGCGACTCTCTTGTTGGACTCTTATCCCTGCACTGCGCTAGGGTTATGCAAGTTCTTTTCATGTCAATGAATCATTCATTAGGGTTCTGTTTTTTTGGAAACCTCTCGTTTGACCTCGTTTTGTTCGGTTGGTATGCTGCAATAAGCCTGGCAATTATGTGGTTTATTTAATACATTCATTTCGAGGAACACTTACGTGGAGTTACGGTTTGGGCACTTGGGCTTATTATCCGACCAGCTAGTTGATTCTCTGATTGTGCATTTGGGACATTTGCAGTTTTTATCCAATACGTTGAAGCTGTTTTGTTTTTGTTGATCACAAGGGGGAACAACTGAAGTTTTAGGGCAAGTTTGTTCTCTATAAGTAGTAGCGGGATCTGTAGGCTTATTTCTCGGACAAGTCTTTTTAATAGACGAGGTAATGGGTGTATCTTTAGGATCCGTATGTTTTTTTTTTTGACATTTAGAGTCCACATCTGGGTATGGTTCAATAGTCTGCACAAGCGCCCTTTCGTCAATTCGAATTTTTCGCTCATTCTTATCTTTTTCTAATGCTTTATTTTTCTCACTTTCTTTTTGATACTTATGGTATTGTTCTCGAATAAGGTTTCCTACATCGCTTGCCACGCTAGGTATTCGTTCTAAGATAGCATATATGTATGTAGGAAGCATGTTGAGTAATTCGACCAACGTCTTAACTGTTTGATTATAATAGTAAACACCAAGATAGGATTTTTCTCTTTGAGGAGGTAGTGCTGGTAATTGTATGTTTAGGTAATCACAAGTTTGTTTACCATACGGACTGATCCACCTGATTGTAGAATGATAAACCTCTTGCGTTTCATCCGATGAATCCCAAATATTATAGCGTTTTGTAGCCATAATTACGGCAACAACGATTCCCGTGCGCAATGCTAAATCTAAAATCATTTTATGTGAGAATATTTTGAAAAAAAAAAAATTTTTTTTAAAGCCAAAGATGATTGACCTGATATGTGTATATAATTTATATTTTGACAGAATACATATTCAGCCACCTAAGCAAATTCACGTTTGCGACAGGTAATGTCATCCTTGATCTTCAGAGGCTGATTCGATATGATGTTGACCGATGCATATACGGCAAGGTTTCGTTTAACAGCAATATTATGAACTTTATTACTAGGCTCAGGGAACAGCCAAGACTGACTTTCCGTTAATCGATTGGCGATTCTTTCAGGTATATTTTCTGTCAGTATGTTTTTTGTATGTGTGGCAAATTGAGTCGACCAGTCGGGTATGCGATAACGAAAGTAAATACTTCGTTTATTTGCGTTATTATATTGTCGTTGAGCAACAAAGCAGTTATCATAAGCTGAGCTATTTGATATTTTTTGTGAACTTCCTGTTATAGGTTTAGCTAATACTAATATGTCACTTCCGACACCGCTAAATCTCCAATATGCGTGGTATAGAGGAAAACTCCTGTGAGAAATCCCAAACGTCTCAGAAATCTATATGTCATAATAGACATATATTTGAACAAGTTAGTTTAATTTTCAGATGTATTATGAAAAAGACAACTTTTAATTTATTTTAGATTTGCCAGTTTTAGAATCGCCTACTCGCGTGAAATTCCGTTGAATAACTGATTGATTGTCTTATTTACGTCATCTGTAAACCGATGACAGTATTTTGGAAATCTGTTGACTACTAGAAATCCTTTTTTAATACTGGCATTCCAGGCTTCGACAAATGATTCACGCCATAACATTGTGTTCGTCTCGCTTGTCTTACAATAATTATAGCAGTACTTTTCCTTCAAGTCATCAACGTAAGGACTTAGTTGACATTTAATATCCTTATATATTGCAGCTGTAGTATCAGGATTATCCCAAACACCTATTTCTTTGGTTAACCAAACTGTGCCAGCAACAAGAGCCAATTTTATAATGATCATCATAATTGCGTATATTGCCAAATATTTTTAATTGCAAACAACAAATTTTAAATAGTTTTCCCAATAAAAACTATATTCCTTTTGGAAAAATTTGTTTGGCCTACTTCTCACTTTTTAAAAAAGCCTAAAAGTAATATTTGGCGTTCAGTCTTTCAATTGCATATCACTTCATTACTATTATCAAAATTTACAGAATTACAGGAATTATTGTCGAATTTATTGATATTGATATGTGCTATTTAAATATTGAGGAATTTAAAAGATTCATTGTGAAAATAAAACATGAAATGAGAAAGTCTTTTAATCTAATTCTTTAATCACCAACTCTTAAAATTTTTTGTTTTAAAGCTTCTACAATCGTTGAACTGGCTGTAAAACGCAGTCAAAAGTCTTCTAGGCCCAGCTCTGTGGGTGTCGTTCCAACTACACCAATACTATCAGGACGGGATCGCACTGCCTCCATCACAGGTCCACAGCCTGTTGACGTACGTAATTAGACGATATGAATCATAAAATTCGAATATTGAATTTTAATTGATTGCAGAGCATAAAGCGACGGGAAATGGAAACATATAAGATTCAAACATTACAAAAGATGTTAGAACAAGAAAAATTAAATTTAGATCGTCTTAAAGGCGACACAAATAATCCCAGCTATAAACTGTCGGAGGCAAACATACGAAAACTGCGCGAACAATTACGCCAAGTGGGAGCAGAGGTGAGTCAATATATCTTGTTTTTAAAGCACTTGTTCCTATTAGTGTACATATATGCATAATTAGTCATATACGTATTATCTATATATTATATTGTTACGTATTTTCGTCATTCGTCTGGTATAAAAAATACTTGTATAGTAACATAAATAACAAATACTTTACGTAAGATACAAGTTTTCAATAGTGCGGAACATTCTATAGTATTTACGTGTATACAATTGTTTATTTTTATCGCGAATCTGAAAACTTAAATATGTGTTGTAAAAGCTGTTATAATATGCAATAGCCATTTTTCTGTAATTTCGTAATAAATCTAAAAACAAAATTTAATTTAATTTGTCTTGTAATACGAATCGATCATTTATGCATATTCACTGGCACGGCTTTATGTATATGTGTACATTTATATAAACATGCATTTCTTGTATAAAAAATACTTATAAAAAAATGTCTGAATATATTAACAACTTCAAATCATTAACTTCAGGATACGCCAAATATTAAGTGTCAAGCAGGCGAGAAAAATACTGATATACTAATGCACAATCCAATTCAAAATTTGTCTGTCGCTACTCCTCATCACAATCTTCACAACAACAATCATCATCAGCAACAGGTTAGCACCCAACAGTCGCAAGCAACTCAACACACTTCACCCGCATTCCTATCGCTACTGCCACGTTCACTTTCGTCCCTGTCTTTGGGTACGCGAAAGAATAAAACTGACAAAGAATTGCTAACCTCAACACTAAACAATACAACGGACGTATTACCTCAGCCAAGAGGTCAAGAAGCTTTTAATCCAATGTCGCAGTCACTTTACCACCACATAAAAGCAAATATGCTAAGCCCTCAACAGAATACTCAGCGAAATTTGCAACAGCAATGCGTTAATCAGCAACAGCAAAGGTCTAAGGAAACTTTGAAACTAAGTGCGGGATCAAAAAGTAAAAATGTTTTTACAATATCTAAGAGTTTGATTGAGGAAGACATACCACCGCCTCTACCACAAAGAAATCCAACAAGGCAACTTGCTTTAGATTTGGCTAATCAAAACAGTATCCACCAGTTTTCTCCAATTTCTGATTCGGACCGTTCTGGCAGTCCGCAACGAACATCACCGAAGCTAATAGCCATTAATAATGATGTCAGTGGTCTTTTATTTAATAACAATAACAACACTACAAAGTCAAAGCGATCTAAAATTAAGGCTAAAGCTTTATCGGATCCAAAAATGACTACACAAATGTTTTTGCAAATGGAAACTTCTAGTAGGCCTACGGCAACAGAAGATGTGGGTACTAGTAAAACACTTGAAGTTGACTCTTGTCCACCTCCATTGCCTCCACGGCAGCCGGGAATGCTGACGGAAGAGATTAATCGTGGTAGCTGTCAGAGCCTTGCACAGCCAAATTCTTTAAGTGCTGGCTACAATTATCCACTGGTTTCAACCTGTACTGCAGTTCAAGGCGACAATATAAAGGTTGCTTTTCCACTATCGCAACGCCCAAACATTGTTCAAAAATTACAACAAACCCAACAACAGCCACCCGGCTGTCTGTCGACTGCAGTAAGTACTTGGAGATCATATCCATAAGTATTACGCTACTATTATCTTATTGTAATTTCATTGTATCCTTAATAGTTTTTTTTTTTTTATTATTATATTTATGCCCCTGATCATAATTGAATATTATCATTTCTTTGTTAATGATTGCTTGAACAGGAACAGGATTTATTTTGCTTAATCATTTTCTAACGCTTACATTGGTACAAATCATGTCTGCTTTTAAATTTTTAATAGCATATCTGCACTTCATAGTACAAACTCTAACATAAAAAAACATTGGTTTTTTCGCCTAAGAAAAACTTAAAAACTATAAGTATTAAACAGTAGAAATAAAATCTAATATATTTAAGTATAAATATTTTATTTCGCAATATTATATATAATATATATTATATATTATTATTTTCATTTTTTTTTAAGAATAACAAGTGGTATGAGCGCAAACTACAGTCGATATGACAAAATATGTATCTGTTGTATATGAATAATAGAAACTTAATAAGTTCAAGATCCCTTAAACTCATCCAGAGCAATGTCTGTCCGTCGGTCCGTTTGTTCCGCATGAACGCAATTTTTTCGCCGCTATTGAAGCTAGAGACTTGAAATTTTGAACACATACTCGTGTATATCTCCGACATATAAAGTGTTCAAATTTCCCGATCTGATCTAGAGCGTGGTAAATCCATTTTCCGATATGCCATATTAGTTGAAGAAAGCTGAATTTTGAATATAGATCCGCGTCGACCACCCAAGATCACGGGCTCTGGCGGATATATTTATGGCCATTAGGGGCGTGGCAAATCGGATAAAACTGTATCTCCAAGAGTTTTACAGCTAGAATGCTGAAATTTTGCATGTAAGCTAATGTTATTATTCTATATGATAGATGATTATGGTATATTTTGGACACTATTGATGCTAGAGACCTCATTTGGTACATTCATATGCTCGGGCTGACCACCCAAGACCAAAAAGCTTCCGCCCACTTAGTCAATATATTGCTGATTGGATGTGAATGAGTATTCCGCAGTCGGTAGCGCCCGACTCGTGTATAGTGATTTTGTTAAAAGTATGTGACGGGCAGAAGGAGGCGTGTCAGATCCAATAAAGTATATATATTCACTGAGTCGGAACTGTTCATCCATCCGTATATATCGACGCATTGATCTCTGAATATATGAGACCTAAAGAATTGGAAGTTTTATACCCTGAACCCATTAAAAATGTGGCAAACCTCATAAGTAATATACATTCTTGAGCGCGTGCGTGTGAATATGTGTGTTTTTGTATGTGTGTATAAAAGAAGTGCAGAATGATTCGAATATCATATCTTCGCAGGATTCGGGATATCTCCCAGACGAGCAGTCTCGACTAAAGGGCTCTTACTTTCATGTACGGGCCATCGAAAGCAATCAGAATATGTTTTCTACCAAAACTCAAAAGAATTTACCGGTTATTCAGAATAAATCGTGCAAAATATTTCTTGCAATTTGATTGAAAGTTTTAACAATTATCATAAAATTCGCTGTTTTTATACCGCATTCAGCTGAGCGACTCTGTATCAATAGTCATCCTCTTATCTTATAAAATGTTAGGATTTGGTAGGTACAGTGGCTCACACCTTATTTCGTTCAGCAGCATAGTAGAACTTTGAAACCGTATTCCCGCTAAACCAGTAAAGATATCAAAAAAATTTAAATGAGGTCTTATTTATTGGTTATTCATTATGTATTAACACTTTC